GCACCTTAGAGACTAACAAATTTGTTAGTCTCTAAGGTGCCACAAGTACTCCTGTTCTTCTTTTTGCGGATACAGACTAACACGGCTGTTACTCTGAAATCTTTCATTTTTAAAAGCAGATCATATATCAGGAGTCTTGGGGGTGGGGAGCCCAAATCTTGGAAATCCCAGGCCTAATGACTCCAAAATCTATAGCGCAGATACAACCTCTGCCCTTGATGTGGCATAGCAATCTTCAAGTTCATCTACCTAAACATGTGTAGGTTAGCACACTTGAAATATTGTCTCTTAGCAGAACTTCTGTTGTAACCATAACTATGGAATCTCTTCTGCAACTCCATGATAAGATGCAACAAAAGAGCAAACATTTCTGGTTGTGTTTATTTCTTTTTCAGGTAGCCCAGTCACAATCCAAGCTCAGCAGGGACAAAAACCAGAGCTACACTAATGAAAATAACATAACAAGCCCTCCTAGAGTAGACTGGGGAACTATTGTTAATCCATGTTCAAATGAAAGATGCACCACAATCCAGGTCATGTCATGCAGTGTTTTTAGCTAAACTATATTTGCCACATCTTGCATACCACAGCCTATGTTTTGTTCTTTTTTGTTTTGTTCTAATGCCTTCATGTAATGTACATAAGGCCACTGATATTACTATAACTTCCAGATGCAGTAGGAAACATAACTAGAGCCTAATCAGAAGAGGTGCTGAGCACCCTCCACTCCCACTGAGAAATCTATTGGAAAATGAATGAATGAATGATTGATTCACCTTAATGTTAAAGGAAGCTTATTCCACTATAGGTTCTTTCCTGTTCTGGCTGATGTTGAAAGGCTCATGTATTGAGAGCTGAAGGCATACACCATCCTCCAGGAAGTGCTTTTAATGATATATTTACTTCCAGTATATTATTTAGACACTAGTTGTCTCTGTGAGCTGTAGAGACATCCAGAGAGAGGGTGTGAATCCTGGTAACAAAAGAGACAAAGCTAGAACTCAAGCTATGTGGAAGCCTGTTTGTCAGCGTCTATAGTTTTTAGTTGTTTTCTTTAATAAACACTTCCTGTATAAGATGATATATCGAGACAGTACTCAGCCCCTTAGAGGATCAGACCTTAAGGGCTTGAGGCCTGTTTAAGATGCTATATCAGAGGTGGGCAAATTACATCCCGTGGGCCACATCCAGCCCACGGGACTGTCCTGCCTGGCCCCCAAGCTCCAGGCCCAGGAGGTTCATCCCCAGCCCCTCCCCTGCTGTCCCTCCTCTCCTGTAGCCTCAGCTCGCTCGGTCTGCCGCCGGCGCAATGCTCTGGGTGGCGGGGCTGTGAACTCCTGGGGCAGCGCAGCTGCAGAGCCTGGCCTGACCTGGTCTCTGTGCTGCGTGGTGGCAACGGCATGGCCTGGCTCCAGCTGGGCGGTGCGACTGTAGTACCGCCAGCCACCAGCGCTCCAGGCAAGGTAAGGGGGCGGGGAGCAGTGGGGGTTGGATAGAGGGCAGGGGAGTTCGGGGTGGTGGTCGGGGGGGGGGCGGGGGTATGGATAAGGGTTGGCGTAGTTGT